CAGACGAATTCACTTTCGCACATCATCACCACATCACCGGAATGTCACAACTGCGATGTGCCTGGCACATCGATCGTCGGCTCGAGAACGATTTGAAATTCGCGTGACTGACAACGTGCAATCACTGGAGCACGCTGGACGCGAGTGATGGGGAGATGTGGTGCTTTGTGGACAAGCTGGGTTGTGTGAGACCTGAGGAGCTGATGAGCAGAGTGAGCATAGACAGAATGAGGCAAATCTAGCAAACGATGATACAGAGAACGAATTGCCTCTTCTTAACCAGTGGCTACACTTAACAAGCCTTCCTGAACCTTGTTGCAGGTATAAGTGATGGGTTAACGTGAGAGTGCAAGAAATGATAGAAGAGACAAAGGAGAAAGTGAGATGATACAATGGGAAGTCGGAGGTGATGGTTTATAAATAGGATTGGAAAAATGAGGGATAGGGTGTATAGTAACGTGCTCATAAGATTAGAAGTGTAGATTTGCTACTGTCTGGCGTAATTTACTTAAAGATAATGTCCAATTTGTGAATTCAACATAATGTGCGATTAAAAAGCCACAAATCCAAGTGTTTCACCATTCTCCTCCTTTCATCTGGTGGAAGACAAAACCAAGTGCCATTTCAGTGAACATAATCTCGTTGATTCGCCACACGGTCTCACAAGTCAACGTGGAATGAACCTTAAAATCTGAGTGGATGTAAAGGGGAGGTGGAGACGTGAGGAATTATCCCGAGGACAAACTCCACTTAAAGGGCAGTTGGAGAAATGCTTAATCTGGACTGTTAAAAACTTTTTACATCTTTCGTACTGCGATAGGCAGACAACCTGTGTATAAGTGGTTGGAAGAGGAGGAGGAGCCGAGTTGACACTACGGTAACGTGATGATGTCAGTGAACGAATTGGTCTACTTAGGTTTTCTCTACACCTACCTGTGCATCGCCTTGCTGAACTACTTCAATTTAGTCAATTTGGCAACGTGGTGCGTCCTCCGCGCATCGGTTAGATTCCTTGAGGCCACTGTCCTCCTCCTCCTCTATATGTTGGCAATCATTGTCCTGCCTTATACGTAGACCGCATCCTCCTAAAAAGGCGCCTTCGTCTTCTCTGCTTCGTTCCTGCCTTTTTATAAGCATTAACCTCGTCCTTGTTTGCCGCCGCCTCCACTGGAATCGGCAGGCAGAGAATCGTCTCCACTCGTCCCTTATGTATTAAACCTGTCGAATGAAAGACAGAAAATGGTTTGCTAAATCAGAATGAATGGTAGAAAGGATGTACGAATGGCATGGTTCAGTGGATATTTACACGGATCAAAGGGGAGGGAGGGTGTGAGAGTTTGATGGGTGGAAAGCAGATTGGATAGGTAAATGGCTAGGAGAACCAGACATACAGTTGGATGGAATGGTTGAAAGGATGGAAGGAAGGAAACATGAATGCAAGGATGGTAGACAGGTGACATAGGGATGGCTGGATGACTGGTTAGGAGGAGGATCAGTCGATTGTAAAGATGAGTTGGTCGAAGGATGAATAGATGATGGACGATTGGAATGTCGGGCGGGTAGGTGAAAGGAGCCAGGATGGATGAATCAAATGGTCAGGCAGGTAGTTTGAGAGAGAACTGGTTTTCTCCTAAATGGGGCAAAAGTTGAATAGATCAAAAGGTAAAAAACTTGCCAGTCAATCCGCATTGAATACGGTCCTCCACAGTGAAGGCAAGCAAATGTAAGGGGAAGGAACGCCAACCGTACAGTTTAAACCCACCTCGTGTTCCACAAGATCGAAATGGTAGACGAGGAACTCCTGCACATCCTGCTGTTGTTTGCTCGC